TTGAGAAAAAAAAAAAAGAATAAGGGTCAGTGAAGGTCCCATTACTTAAGCATTAGATGCACAAAAAGGCAGCTGTTTTGTAGCTAGTGCCATCAGTTCTGTTTAAAATGCTAATGTTTAACATAAGAATAACATTGCAGGAAAAATGACTTAAATTATATAAACTTCTGTATTCTGTTTTCCTTACAGCATGACAGGAATTCATGCTGAAAGAAAAAATATCACATTTCATTTTCTAACTTTGTACACAAATGTAGCATACATGTTAAGAAAATTAAATTAGCTTAACCTCGTTATTTTTTCTTACACAATTAAATATATTCATTATATGTTTTAAATGAACCTAACCATTCAATCTTATGTATTTACTTCTTTATTGCAGGATTTAAAATGGCAAAAAGGTACAATTAATAAGAATTGAGAAAATTAAATGAGCTTAACCATTCAGTGTTGTTATTTATGTTTTTTTTTTTTTTTTGCACAATAAATGCATTGCACACATCTTAAAATATAAACAACAAAACTAGCAAGAGTACTGTTAATATACATAAAACTGATCAAATTAATTGGAGCTTAACCATTTAGCTTGATTATTGATTGACTGATTGATTGCACAGTTTAAAAATATAAACAAATAAACGGCAAAAGAAAATACAACTAATATGTAAAAACTGTGTGTTGCAATAACTACAATCCAACACTTGGCCTGATACTAGCCTCTGCTAAACCTGCAACCCTATTAGGGCCTACCTATTAATAAAAAAAAAAGTAATATTTTAAATCAAATTATAGAAAAAACAGGGTTTAAAACTATATTCTGACATGCCCTAAACTGCAGTGTTGCAAAAGTTTGCAAGCCTCATATAAAATAGATGCAACAAAACAGCTCATATAATATTTAGCTTGACCTCCCAAGATAGACGATCAACATTTTCTGAAGGTTAAGCACCTCCATTCACTGATCCTTGGCTGAAAAAGAGCACTTCAGACACTATTTTGTACCCTTTTTGTGGAAAGTGCCAGAGAAAGAAACAAAGAGGAAAAAATAAACCTCCATCTCCATGCGCGCCGATTCACAACGTTCCATTACTGTTGTGTCAAATCTTTCTCTCTCCCTCTCGGCTCTAAATGGATCTCAGCTCTGGTCTGTGTGTCTCATGGACCATTGTGTTGCCGTGTTCGTGGAACTGAAGGGAACAGAACAAGCAGTCTGTCATTTACTCATGACTCATCGAGGTTGATGCCTCCGCTACATCGCTCACGAGGATGCACAGCAAGCAAACCAGACAATCAATCATATTTTAATACAAAACAGCCCCATTTTCAACGAGACACACTGCTATCAGAAAGAGGACCTAATTAGATAGGTGCAGAAACAGCATAATCCTGCAGAGAACGATCATTACCAACACGGCGAAAAGCGTTAACCTAGTGATGGATGGCGGCTGATATCCGAGCCGTTCGGAGAGTAATTGCTATAACGCCAGCGGAGCAGACGCGTACCAAAGTGCGGCAACTAGAAAAGAAAGTCATTATGATATACTTTTTAGAGAAGTTGTTGAATATCCTCGGGTAACACGGCTAAATCTGTACTGACAACACTTCCTGTGCTCCGCTTCAGAAATTAGGCTGCATCAATATCAGGCTTGTATATCCTGTTTAGCATACCGGTGGCAGGTTTTGCATACGGGCTGCATTACTGTCACCTTACTGAATGGTATTATCGTGATTGACCGTGAGGTAGGGGAACAAAAGGGTGACCTGCACGCCGAGCTGTGTTTGTGGAGTTTGTGGTTATCATTTCTCTTTATCTATGTGTGCCGGTATCAGCGTTTAGTATGAGCAATGTCACAAGTCTAGTAATGGGCGAAAAACTGCCATCCAAATTAGTTTTTCATCTGAACAGATTTGGAGAAATTTAGCATTGCATCACTTGCTCAGCAATGGATCCTCTGCAGTGAATGGGTGCCGTCAGAATGAGAGTCCAAACAGCTGATAAAAACATAATAATCCACAAATAAGAAATACATCCATCAATAAGGCATTTCACCTTCAAACCATTGCTTTCAGCCAAAATATAGATCCTGCATCCATAATATTGCTTTTGTCCATTGAACAAGTCATCTTGTCTGAATCAGGAGAGAAATATGCACAGATCAAGCACCGTTTACAAGCGAAAACAGTACAAAACAGAGGGTGGACTTTTTCACTGGAGGAAGCATTATTATGGATTATGGACTATATTTTGGCCAGAAGCTACGTTTTAAAGTTAAAAACATTGTGATGCAGCTTTTTGCTTTACAAGACATTAACTGATGTACTGAAGTGGTGTGGATTACTTGAGTATTATTGTGATGTTTTTATCAGCTATTTGGATCCTCATTCTGACGGCATCCATTCACTGCAGAGGATCCATTGGTGAGCAAGTGATGAAATTATAATTTGCCAAAATCTTTTCCAAAGAAGACACAAACTCATATACCTCTTTAATGGCCAGAGGGTGAGTATATTCTCCGCATATTTTCATTTCTGGGTGAACTATTCCTTTAACCAAAATAACTAATAGCCATGCGCTAACTGTTTTTCACCTAGGCTATTACTAGACGTGATTTTTTTTTTTCTTTAGCAAAAGCTACAATTAAAACTAAAACCATTAAAGAATAACTTTTATGACTTACAAAATAAATGCTAACTAGATTAAAATCATTTTAAAAGAGTTTTTTAAATGAGTTGCCATGGCAACATTTCTCATTTTAATTTAGTTTAGCTTGATGTAGTAGAAAAACCTGAAACTCAAAAGAACTTTAAAGGTGACATATCATGAAAATCGGACTTTTCCAGGTTTTAAGTGCTATAATCAGGTCCCCGGTGCATCTACTAAACAAGGAAAGTGAAAAAGATTAACCCAGTAACTTTGTTTTGGTAAGCCTTTTTCTGCAAGCGTCTGAGAAAAAGAGCGCGTCTGATTTCGCTCCCTTGGTGACGTGGCAAAGGGATCTCATTATAATATTACCGCCCCTTAATCTGTAAGTTTCCACCCACGGCGCCATCATTTTGATTTCGCAAGCGACAACGGTGTACCAGTTCTAATGCCATGGTGAAAGTTTGAGCAAAACATGCTAACTGTTCTTTCTGTCTTTGGCTGCACAGACGAGCACAGAACACTATTTATAGAAATAAACATGTGATTTATTTCCCAGCTGTTTACCTTCACAGACATAACCGACTGTTATCTTAGTTTACCGAGAACTTAGTTTAGTACTCACATGCTGTGACAGCCGCTTTCTGTCCGTGTGCTTCGGATGTGTGCGCTCAGAAAACC